TCTCAACTACGTGTGACTCCGTTACAATGTCCCTATCACTTTTAGGAGGACACACGAAGAGTTTGACAACGGTACTTCATTCGTAAAACAAATGTATTTTGACCGTCTTGTACCTTGAGTTGTCAAAAGGCGATCGTATCGTCGAGAAGTCACATATCGTATGCTTCTTACCCTCTAGTTGTGCATAAATGCTGTAATATACCAACGTTAACGAATCGCGCGTTATTGACAGGGCTGTATAAGCATTGCAGATATACTGCTTTAAACTCACTTTCCTCGCTGTTGTCATCCTTTTTTTTCGATTAGTCTTTGCATGATAGCCTTCCGGCAGTGTCAGCTCGTCAAGAACGGGGCAATCCTAGTCAGCAGAAAAATGGCTCTTCCGTGATCTGGGTCTCGCCTTTCATATCGCCTTTATGAGCGAATGTCAAAAGTACGATAGCGTAGGTGATATGAGATGGAAGTGGCATTATACTGATATGTACAACAAAATAATTTGACAATTTGTAGAGGTTTTGATTACAACTACTTTTTTAATTTTTGGGGTGAAGGCTCATTGGCGAAAATCGAAGGCCCATTAGCGGCTCCCTTCATTTATATCGATATGGTGTACTCGCTGCTATGGAATGCAATCAAGCCCCCACCGAGTAACCCGTTTCAGAGGGGATACTGTACACCAATAAGGAAAAGACAGGATAGATCGCATTACAAACGATTTGTAAGATTCACCTAGCGTCATTAACAAACATATTCAGACAAAAAAAAGTAAATTTCAAATTTGGTAAAGGTTAACGTACTGGTCGAGAGTGGGTGAATCTACCGGCAAATAGTTTTGTCCAATCAAAAAATTTAAATTTCAATCTTGATCTGCTGCACCCAATCGAATTCTGAAGATGCCATGATAATTTAGGTAGACTTCACCCACCTCGATTTTTTTTCTTATCTGCTGCAAGGGCGCTTGCCGGCACGCAATGAGTGACGAAGGTCCAGGCAATAAATTAGACGCAGAGAGTAGCGATGGATAACGCTTACCGACAAACTACATATTTTGGCTCGGTCGGTGTGATACAATACTTGCGGAGCACACTGCATTTGTTGAAGGCGTACATATGCAGGCCCCATTACACTTAAGTGTGTCATGTTTGCTTTTCTTTACATAAAGACGCATGTGATATTCAATACCATCAAATTATGGTGTAGAGATGACTTTTATCCGTAATGTCTTGACGCTGGTTGCATTAAGGCTGGCTGTACTGATGGTTTTGGCGTCATTGTTTTCGTTGTCATGTAAGTAGCGTCTTGGCTGACAATGTTGCTGCTAGCTGGGTCATTGGGGAGCCATGATGTTTTTTATGTGTTGAGCTTATTTTGTATATATGTCTCTTTAGGGTTGCCATTGGGAATGCATTCACCATGATGCTAATGTATAATTTTCTGCAGTATGAAGACATGATTATTTTTGGTTTGAATATGTACGCATGACACAAGTGCAGTGTGCCTTTCTACCTAATTACTGCGTCAAAATATCCACTGCTATGATTCAGTTGACGTCTATTTTTGTCAATGTGCTCTCTCTCCTTCCATTTTGTAGCTCATTGCCTGCCGGCCAGCGCCTTACAGCAAATGCGATTTAAATGGGTAGAATAAGGGTAGGTATACCAAAGTTAGGATGGTGTCATCATTATCAGACTGAAAATACTAAATTCAGCATAAAAACCTTTTTTATGCTGGCTACACGAATCGCCGGAATAATGACCCACTCGCCACCGGGACGTTTAACCCTTCCCTCAAAATGTTCGGCATTCACCTTTGCACAGTCACATATAGCCTCACCATTCTGGCTTGCAATAAGTCTGAAATTACAACGAACCACGATCAGTAAGACGAATAGACCGGTGATCTCCTACTTAATTAGATGAGCGCTGGTAGACGAAGTAATTCGGACTTGTCCGTCGTGCTAAATATACAAACATCCAGCCATTCTATTAGAAGACGTGATGAGAACATGCTACGATACGATTGCAGCATTGACATGATGCACTCTTTTTATAGAGTATAGACTATAAAAAGCTCGTATGAATTGAGACATGCGGACAGCTCGTTTGTAATGACAGACCACGGGCAAGTTGGTCGTAGTCGACGTCTAACTGCGCAGTGTCGCTGCTTTACTGTTAGCGTCGTCACCATCACCAAAAGAATAATGTTGTAATAACCTGTACCCATAAACATACAGACATACCTTAAGCTATGCAACGCACAATGGAACTACCGAGTCAACCACCACAAAGCTAAAGACAAGAACTGGACGAAGACGAATGTGTATTTAAGGACGCTTCAATGAGACCGAAAACGCCTCCAAGTATTTATGACGAAATCCCCGACAGTAGCCACACCGTACAATGAAATTGTTAAAGAAGAAAGAAACAAGGAACGAGCTTTATCCGCGATTACTCGATAGACCTTGACCCCCTTTTTAGGAATTAGTCGCTGGCCCGTCTTCACGATCCACTCTGGTAAGCGTAAACTTTTTTTGTCGCCCACCTTGGGAGCCGATTCGGACAGATGGGCAATCCCAGCTACCGGACCGACCGGTCCCCTCTCCTCGAGCTCGTGTTCACTCACGGAAACCGTTGCCGAGCTGGGCGCCTTGACTGTCGCAGGGGGACTGTTGGCTTGACGAAGTAAGCCCACGGGGGAGACGTGAGCCACGCTGTTGTCTTCAGTGGCGACACCATGGATACATCCTTGAGTAGTCAGAAGGAGAACGACCGCGAGATATGAGGTTCGGTGCGTTTGACAGAGTGAGGCCATCGAGTGAGATGTAGTTACCACAGTAATTTCGTCCCACGTGAGTCTTTGGGTGTCAGTTTTGAAATGATCTACAAAGAACACGTGTCTTACTCTTTCTCTCCTTCTTTCTTTCTTGATACCACTCCCTGCTTCGCAACCACCAATTTGCGAGCTGGCGCAACTGGTCTGGTCGCAGTACCGGTTGCAAGAGCAGTCACAAGAACAGGAGGCTACAATCTTCAGCATCGCGGATCAAGCCGGACGTCTCTTCTGAATTTTTTGGGGAAGTAATGCCAGACCATTTGCACAGACAAGCCCGTCCAAGCACTCGGATCAGATGACTCTATCGAAAGAACACCAGCATCAGCTGCGCAAGACATTGAAGAAGTAAATGACCTCAGATAGAGAATGTGCATGACTGCATCTTTGTCACGATACGAACGGCATCTCTCTTTTGTAGCTACGGAAGGACAGCCAGAGACGTTCGTCAGCTTTTTTGCGCAGCCAGCAAGCCGTAAGTAAATCACGCTCATCATCTGTCCCGCCCTTACTCAACTTCATACAAAGAGGCCACTGAAGCAAACAGTGTCGATCGGACGAATCGAATGGCTGACGGAGAAGTGAAGCGTTTGTTATAATTGTGAAGGAGAGAAGCCTACTAAAGGTACCAGAAATTGTGTCGTCATTAGCGGAAGGATGTCACAGTCGAGAGACAATTGCGTGTGCGTCTAAGCACAAGATAAAAGCTCCGGAACAGACACTGCCGTTCGATGAGGATTGCGATGGGGATTCTGGCCTCCTTGGGTCGAAGAGGTGTCGTTAGTATCAGTAAATTGGGCACCGATTTTGAAACTGATTTCTCGAATCAGGCCACAGCACGTTTTGACGTGATCGTGTCAGGTCAGAACACAAGCAATTGATTCGTCACTTCTGGGAAAAACAGACGGGATGACTGCAGACAGATGAAGAGAGGGAATGATGTGAGGCTTGCCTGCTTCTGTGACAATCGTGTCACTTCTGGATGGGCAGCCAGCTGCCACAACAAACAGAGACGAGACTCTCCGGGGAGTCCGGAAACTGACCCCTTTTTATTGGGTGAGAAATTCCCCATAGTGAGGCCAAGGTAAAAAGGGGGAGGGTAACCTGTCGCTACGCGCGCGACGGGAGGCAGTGCAGCGTGCATTTCGATAGAGAAAAGACCCGCAGGATATCCTGGTGCAGCGGGGCATGTCGACGATGGATCGATTCACCCTGCAAATCGACGAAGTTCCTACCTTTCACGGTCTACCTACAACTCGCCGTCACGTTCGTTGAGCAGAAGCCCGGTCATACGAAAGGATCTTCCGTAAGGCCGTGACGACACTTGTCGAGATCCAGTACCGGTTGTTTTGTACAGTCACACCGAGTCAGACACTCTTCGTCCGGTGGTGCGTCTGGGCACATTTGAGCACGTTGTGAGCCCGCCACCCCTCAAGAGCAAGAAGTCGACTGACTACGAGGTGATGGCCAGGGCTACGTCAAGATGGCTCGCTGGGACTACCGCAGTGGTGTCATGAGTCCTAGTCAAGCGTCCTCTGTTCCTTGAATCAAATTGCTCCAAGCGCGAGAGCAGCCCCGCCATCCGGTAGAGCGCACACAAGAACCTAACCCGGACTTGGTCAATGGACGGTTTCCACGTGCCATTCTATGAGTGCCACGCCGTGAGGCCGACGTCTTGAGTCAGCAGAATGAGAAAGCTAGGAGTCGTACGACTGTGTCATGGTGGATGACACGAGGTGGCTACCACACAACTAGACATCTTGTTCGTGATAAGTAACTGAAATAGACAGTCTGAGCCTCTCTTCTGTGACATTCGTGCCATCTTTGATATCGGCGGATAGTGACGCGCAAAAAGCGAGTCTGCAACGCCGAGCCAGACGCTATTCAGTCGATTTGAATGTACGTGTTTGCAGCCAGATAGCGCTTTGAAATGCTGTTTGAAACGTCTCTATTCAAGTATCACTCTTTACGGAATTCTGGTCATTTTGTTTCTTGAACTCGCTGCTATTCTTTTTTAGGTTTTGTGCAAAGTGACCGAGAAGTGGTCAAAGAACAATCGTCACACTCTTGAATCCGAGATACTATCGGTAACACGCTGGAAACAAACGACTGTGCGTCATCTACGACAGGAATTCTCTTTCACGATCGACTCGAGCCAATGTTGATAGATTCTACTCTTTCTTCGACTTCTTCGGCAGCGGTAAAGCGACTAGAGACGGAGGATATACCCAGATTACGAGCGATAACGTGTGGACGCACACGTAGATACAGCACATGTACGGCAGTGCCAGCAAATTTGTACGGTGAGCAAAACTGTCCACGGTATATGACAAGCCACCTATCACGTCTAATACACCGCAACAAAACAGTCGTCGAAATCAGCATACTATCGTAATTGCAATGTCAAGCCAGCGCGTACCCATGCGAGTCCAGTTCAGCAAAACAAGCAGAACGAGGGGAGACGACACGATGAGCCAAAAGCAGTTCCATATTCGCTTAGCCTGAGATGCGGTGGTGAAGGGAACAATGCTGGCAAAATGGGCCATTGGAATTGCACCGAAAATAGCCATGGGGTAATTCAGAATACCCAGAATGCAATGGGAGTACCTGTGCACACAAACATGCATCAGTTATAAGCTCACACAAGACCACCCACATTCTACAATACGACAACAGTTCACCAATCGACAACACGACGTACACGAACACTGCCATTGACAACACGACGT